TTCACAATACCACTATTTATAACAAAAATAAATAAATAAATAACCGTTAAAAAAATAATAATAAAAAATATAAAAAAAAAAAGTCCGACCGTTCTGACGCTGCAGGCTGCAGCCTGCAGCAGCAGGCGTTGTTTTGAAATTTTTTTTATTTTTTATTTTTTTTTTTAAAACCAGGCCAGCGGTTCCTTGAACCGGCCTTGACCGGTTTCAGGTCCGGGCCGGTTCGGGAGCGGGCGGGCTTGGGCGGCCCGCCCATCTTGACAACTTTAGATACAGTTAATGATCCGCCTAGGCATTCGTGTATCATTCGACTCACTTGTCCTATTACCTCATCTAAAGAATAATGATTGTAATCCACCAGTCTCTAGACTGGAATAGATTCAATCCACTCGCTCGAGCCTTCCTCTGTAGACGTATGCCTGATTGCAAGTACAAATACATAGCTAATGTGCAGCAGCATTCAAGAAATATGCAGGAGAATCCATTCGTCGTACAAAGTGATCACAAAATTGACTATTTTTTGTTCGACTAATTAGATTCGTACTTCATTGAATGCTAATCTCTTTTAAAGTGCAACATAGCTAGAGGTTGATAACCATAATAAAAATTGGTTTAAAGAAAAAAAAATCAATTAACGGAATTCATACTTCACTATATGGCATATGCTAATGACTTTTCAAGTAGACCACGGCTAGAGCTAGTGCTAGTGCTAGTGCTATAGCTTGCTTAATAAACATAATAAAAAGTGTTTTAAGTTCGACTAAAGAGTTTTGTACTTCACGTCTCTTTTCAAGTACAATAGAGCTAGAACTTGATAAACATAATTAAAATTGATTATTTTTTTAGTTTGACTAATGATGTTCGTACTTCATTGAAGAGTTAAAGCTAGAGTTAGAGCTTCATAACCATAATAAAAATTAATCTCTTTTCAAATACGACAAAGCTAGAGCTTGATAATCATAATAAAACTGGGGTTTTTTTTTCCAAAGGTCGACTAATGAGATGATAATCTCTTTTCATGTAAGACAGAGTTCAAGCTAGAAGTAGAGGTTGATAACCATGATAAAAATTGAGTATTTTTTTAAAAAGTTCGACTAGTGATACTCATACTTCACTATATGCTGATCTCCTTTCAAGTACAGCACAACTATAGCT